TTTTTTACTTTTAATAGTTAAAATATATTTATTTTTTTATATTTATTAAAAATAATTTTAAAAAAATCATGATAAATTTCAACAATAAAAAGTAAAAAAATGAATAATCAATATTTTATATAAGTTCAATATGTAAAACTTATATGTCAGTAAATAGTTACTCTTATATTTTATTTAAAAAAAAAGTAGGTGTGTTGCAAGTAAGGATATATTCATTTTCAGGTGTATGTGGTTAGAAACCATATTCTATGATGGAACTGTTACATATGAAGGAAAGCATTAAAATGTGTAGAAATGAAGAATCCTTTTATGCATCCTCATCCAGCGTGAGGAGGATATACCTTCTTTACGGTGTCAGTGCAGTGCAGATGTCTCCTCTAGAACATTCTGTAGACAAAGGAATTGAAGGACGTAGCCCTTTAGCATCATCACGGGCTCGGATGAGCTGACAGCGACACCATCACTCGCTCTCTTAGTAAGAATCTTTTTCATGTCAGACTCTGCACCTTTTTTTTCTGTGACAGGGCCAAAGTGAAACAATTGAATCCACGAAAACAATAGCTTGTTTGGTTTGAGGAGAGACAAGAGGTGAGGGGAGAAGATAAAATTCCCTATTTAGATAACAAAAATTAGAGGAAAGGGAAAGGGAGGAGCTTTCCTTTATTTTCTCTTATATTTTAGCATAACCAAATGAGAGGAAGGGAAGAGAGTGAGACAAAGGGAAATAGAGGGATATTGTCTCCCCTCCCCTCCATTTCTCTCAAACCAATGAAGTTAATAAAAGCAACCACGCAGTTCAACAGAAAAGATCAGTTATAAGATACCTGCACTGCCATTTTGTTGAGGAAGAAGAGCTTCTGCATCATGGTTATGTCTAACAAGTAACAACAGAAAAAGACTGTTTAATGCAATATGTCAAACGATTTCACAATGGCAAAATTTGTGTTTTAGCCAGTCATACAAAATAAAGGCATGACAGAAAGATGAGTTTGTCTTTCGTACCCATTTTCATCCGCATGGTTCTTAGATTTGTCCGGTATCTTCACAGATGATGATGTCTCCTCATTATGTTCAGGAGAATGTGTAGCCTTTAGGCTCCCTTTTAGTGCTGAAGTCCCTTCTCTTACTTCCTTGGATTTACAATCTCTGGTGTTTGGTATCAAAGTGTGCACTACTTTTGAGTCTTCTGAGAAAGAGCCACAGTTGCTATTGCAGACTTCTCTTTCTAGCATTAATCTTTCACAGTTTGCTTTCTGGAGTTCTGATTTATTTTCTCCATCTTCACTAACACTTCCTTGTCCTGATAAATCAAGGTCTGACCCTCCATGAGGACCAGTTGTGTAAGATAAATCTGGAGGGGTGCCTTCTGTTGCAGAATATGGAGATGAATCCCATGTAGTTGGCCTGAAGCTGGTCTTTGAGTATACCGGGGAATTGAGAGAATTCCTGTGGTCAAATGGTTGGCAGAAAGCAGAATTTTCAGTTGTGAAACTGCTGAAGGGTGAGCACTGGATGGATTCACCATGTTTGCTTCTGTCGAAAGGAGATTTAGAATCAATAAATGATTCAGGTACAGGAAAGTCACCAAGAGGATCTTCATTCCATAGCTTAGATCCCAAGGATGTGGGTTCCGTCCCTTTGGTTCGACCAAAAGAACTGAAAGCTGAACTTTTATCAACAGAATTGCAGCCCTCCTCAAACAACCAACTTCGAGATGGTCCTATTTTATCCTGGAAAGAAGAGCTTAAAAGCTTGGGTGGTTTTGACTCTGAAGTAACTGGCGTTCTAGTGCATTTTCCTGATCCAACTGCATCACTTCCATTTCGAGTGTCATTACAGTCTTTATTCCATGTTTCTTCTGCAAAAATATCGTCTACGCTAAACTTGTTCTTGGTGATGCCCAATGTGTTGCTTGTTCTTATGTTTGGCCTAGCTCTTAAATTTGGAGGTGAGTAGGATGTCTTCCCCCACACTGAGATGAGTTTCGGAAAAGATTCACAATGATCAACTGAAAGAAGCCTTTCACGGAAGACAATGACAAATTGACATTAAATTGCAGAACAGCTTCTAAAAGCAATACTTAACCTGCACTGGATGAGGATGATTCTTCCCTGCCAAAAGTTGAGAGGTGTAAGTATCAACAAATGCAATCACCTTTCAATGCTTTGGCCCCAAAAAATGAAAATCACCTCGCAACAAATAATTTACTTTCAGCTACCTCAGAAAGCTGAAATTATCCTTTGCATCTTCGGTCACACAAGGAGCCCAATCGGGTTGGCTGGCTATGTCTCTAAAATCAAATTTTCCTCTGAGTAAGGAATCCCTGCCATTTTATAGAAGAAGAATTTTACTAAATTCTAGGCCTCAATTGCTCACATTTTTTCTCTAAACAGTGGCATATCTTACCCTGATGAATGTGTGAAATCACAACCAGTTTCTGATGTGGGGTGCTTGAGAGGTGATTCTGATAATAATCAGAAGAAAGAAGTCAAAGGAAGAACCACAGAGCCTGCGTTCTTAGTTACAACCATACCATCAAAATCTGTTTGCCAGTAATTTCAGAACACAAAAACAGAGAACAATATTTACAGTTCAGCGCAGAAGAATAGTTTAAGCACACAAAAGAAAGGCAAGACAAGTGTATTTTGTACAATAACATAAATCAATCATAAGGGGCCAAATGGAGGACTTCCAGATGTAGGGCAGCCAACTATTTTCAGATAAAAAGCCTACCAAAAACCTGATAAGGAAAGAAAAGAAAACTTACTATATGCATGCACCACACTATTACCTATTCTCTTTTATAAAATAGACTAGCTTCCAATTATGATTAGGATGACTTCGTCTACCTCATTGATGTCCACAGAACAAATATTATAATGGTGCAGAAAGCAACTTTTCTGTAGTTTAAAAGAGAAAAAGAGCACCTATGATATGGAATTTTCTGGTTTCAGCATTACCCCTGCAGAGATTCAACAGCATCATCAAAGAACTATTTCTCAAAATAGGAGAAATTTTCAGTTCGGATGGCATACCTTTTCTTCAGCAGGTGGGAACTCTCAAAAAGGTAATCTGATATCTGATTATCTCCATATTTCAAAAAATCAGCAGAACTACCATCAATTTGACATCGCCACTTCTTCCAAGATATATCTTCCCTTTCATATTGAAATTCATCATCTGATGGTGAGCTGTATAGAAATTCATCATTCATGAATCTATATGTAGCTGTTGAAAAAAATAAAAGAAATAAAATTATGATAATTCCACTTTGAAATAGCAATAACTCTTAACTCTTGAATGGTTCAGATTATGTTGAAACAACTGATATCATGCTCATGATTAAGAAGCTGATGCAAGATCTTGAAGTAGATGCATGTGAAGAAAAGACAAACTATTTTAAGCACAGCTAATGATAATATGATATAATATAGGAGAATGATGCTTGAATACCGAAAGTGTCACAAGTTAGCTGTGAAAATAAACTATAGGAATTATAACTAAAGGGAAATAAATTAAGGAAAATTGTAGATTGAAATTTAAATTCAATGTGTCTATGCTGTTTGTAATGTTGTAGAAGATATTTTGTTGCTAAGAGCTCTTCATTTTACAATTATTGTCATCAAGTTGCACGCGGTCTTTGACACTGGAGAATTTCTGCATCTTGTTGCCACATGTATCTATTTTTCCCAGTGACAAATCTGAAGCACGGTAACCTAGTGACGTATCGATGTCTTGCATTGCCTCATCCTATATTAGCATATAACAATAATCAGTTCAATCTCAATCAAATAAAAGAACTTCCAAAGTATGTGGATAGACAAATATTCAGATTAGTCCACAGATTAGACAATAATAATAACAATAATAATGATAAATTGAAAACTAGGATTCTGATATTCCATTTAGATATGCTGAGTCCAATATTTATACAATAATGAATAAAAATTCTGACAATTGTGGATCACATGTGAAGAATAAGGGAATCAGAAGTTCAAGATCTTGGTAAGGGCCTTTGTTCATCATTCATGGTACAGAAAGTTAAGCCATTAGGCTTAATGCAAGTCAGTATTTCCTATGAAATTTTAGGTTCTTACCAATTTTAGTTCAAGGTCACCTAGCACATTGTTAAAATTCTTTGACGAGTTTTGCTGCTTTACATCCTTCCAGTCTAAGGAGACATAATCAGAAGAAATTCTACAATCACAGAAAGTTAAAACCAATAAACATTTATCTAAAAATGTAATGAACAAAAGAGATGAAATTGTTATGCATGGTTGTTACCTGCCAGGTCCTTTAGGTGAATGGATTGGAGTTTCAGTTCCAATCCTACCTAAACCTGATGAACAAATATAGGTACCAACGATATCAGGTAGATATGGAAACACAAAATCAAACAATTTGTTTTCCAAAAAAAAAATGGAGGAAGAATATCATTACATCAACATCTGAATTTTTCATTTGTCAAGAGGCAGAAAAAGGAAGACTAAACCAAGTGAAGACATGTTCTTTAACAAAAGAGATACATGAGAAGGTCTAATATGAGTGGCATATGCATTTTATTTGACAATTGAATAATAAATCGAGACAAAGCATATGTATCAACTTTGACCGATAGATTATATACATTAGAAGCTAATCACTCTCTTTATTAATTGAAATTAGCTAGTAATTTATTGACCACTTCAAAAGTTTCCCCAGTCGCTGTTTATTCTTTGTCCCTTTTACATCGACACAATAACGAATTTAATGAACAGGACAAATCAGATTATTTGCACAATGTGTTCCTATTTTACCATCATTTGTTGTAAAAATCTAAACCTGCATGACCATACCTTCCACTGAAAATGCAACATAAGCTTCATGAACTGGACTTTTTCCTAAATTGTCATCCAGTCCGTCATCGCCAAGCAAATCAAAAACTGATAATTCTGGAAACATAATGAAATAGAAGAAAAATTTTCAGGGAATTCAATTTTTAGTATCATTTATATAACTCAAATTACACAAAAAGGTTAAATCCATGATTACAGTCACCAAAGCACAAAAAGAAAATATACTATAAATTTGTATCTTTTTGGTAAGCCATAATCTCAGCAGAAGTTATGGAAAACAGATATGAGAAAGACAGGATCTTTGTATATAGTAAATATTACTACTCACCCTTCTCAGTAGCCACATTCCAGTTATCTGATGTCCTATCATTTCCACTAGGAGCATGCTTATGGGAAGCAGAAAACAGAATCCTGCTTGGGAACAGAAGATTAAGTCTTTACAAGGACAGTATTCATTTTAGAAAATAGTAAAAAGACACAATCTTGAAGATGATGAAGAAAAACAAACATCTGCAACAGGAAAATCCACTTTTAAATCCATCACCATCCAGAAGAGATCGTAAATGAGTGCACATTAATGCATTTATATTACAAGTGGTCCAATGGTTCCATTGGAATGTCAAAATAAACCATGGTTTCTAGGACACTTGGAATTCAAAATTTGGCATTGCGCACATCTAAGGACATGATGGAGGTCTAGACCCACGTTTTGTGCATGGACTGATGGGTAAAACACTAAACACATTGATAATTTTTTAGAAGAAAGCAAAACCACCATTATACTAATATACTTAAGGACTTATGTACATAAACTGATGAAGCCATGTCTAAATTTCGGTATGTACTCACATCCATATCAAACCCTTTTCTTATATTAATCTCAATAGATAAACAGAAAGTTATATGCCTCTGAATGAGTAGGATGGTTTCAATAATACAAAAATAAAAACCCATCAAATGTAAAAATTATCACCAACTTCTTTGGGGACACAATCTCCACTTGATACTCTGTCGATGGAGTTCCTGTTTCAAGCAATGTTGGAAGAAAACCTATCACATCTATCTAATTAAGTTAAAGTTACCCAGTCAGGGCAAAAAATCAGACCAAAGTTTGCACAGTCATGCAGAGATTGACGTACTTGCATCCTTAACTTCCACAAAATATGCAGGAGTGACTGCATTGGGAATAATTGTTGGTGGACCCTTTGGAATATGATACTTCATTTCTGAAGTGTTGGCCCCTTGGTCTTCTGTTCCTATAAGGTTGGGTTGGTTGAATAAAGAGGAAAGAGATTAGGCAGTAACAGAACTTGACAAAGAAGAAAAATGCACACAATACATCAAGCCATTATACTGAAAATATTTATATTATCTGTTCATCAACATATCAGAAAGCAGAGAATCTCTGGTGAAGGCACTTTCATTTGATAATTGATAAGAACATAGGATACTGCAGCCTTTAATGTGACTATATATTTGTCAGCGGTGATGCCTTTGAAAGGGCTTGTAACCAACTCAGATCAAATTCTGATGGAACTGATGCATAAGCCACAACTAGTGGCCAAAGTAAACCTATTTATAACTCATCACGTCACATCTTTTTAGAGCACAGAGAAGAGAGCCACAGGCAGAAAACATGATTTAAAAGTGGGAAGAAAACAAAGAATTGCAGCTAGTTGTTTTATTACAAAATACCAAATAGCAGAGCTTGCAAGACCAAGACAAGGTAGACCACCATATTATTAGTTTAACATTTGGAGTAGCCTCATGATTTGGTTTTTCTCTTTTAAAAAAAAAAAAAAAAAAAACAAACCTCAAATATAATGACATAACAAGCATCATTCCTTAATCTATTGTGTCCAACTCCAACCCCAAAACAAGTTGGAGAAATGGAAATATACTGCCAGTAAGTTTTGGCTGTTGAGAATTCTAGACACTTACCACTGGGGCAAGAAGATCCACATTCTTTGGAAATTGCTGACAGGTTTAGAAAACTAAGAATGTCCAGTGATCGATGTTCCCTCTGAAGTTGCGTGCCCATGTTGATTCCATCAGCATAGCCCCCTAAACCAGTTGACTGGTGCTGTTGTCGTTTCTTTTGCTCAAAGTATTGCTTTTGCCTTGGATATTAAAAGATAAAGGGTATATCCATAAAATGTTATTCAAAGGAAAAAATATATAAATTTATAGAGGAGCAATCCACTTACATCACAAGTGTTACACACCACACTTACACAAAGTATTGGTCAATCGTCTCTCCACTTTCAATGGTTGAGATTTATCATGACTTTTTAGGTGAAAAAAATAATTATCTTTAATAAATATGATAAAAAGTGAATAAATCTCAACCATTAAAAGTGAAGAGATGAATCGTCAAGATTTTATGTAAGTGTGGTATGTAAAACTTGTGTGTAAGTGGATCCCTACTCAAATTTATATATTATTATGTTTTTCAAAATAGCTAAAAATTTATGATAGAACCTAGCCTGCCATTGATCATAAATAGCACATTAACAAATAATATAATAACAAGAATTACATATGCATCCATACCCACCTCTTCTGTGTAGACCTTCTCGACTGAAATTCTCCATTGACAATATGCACAAAAGAAATGCAGACATGTCAGGGCAAAAAATTCTATGGTGAGTGGTGACAAATGCTGCTGAGAACATTACATGGTGATGACTCATACATTAAGTAATCTACTTAACAATTTTAGACTTTTACTAGAAGTTACTGACAACAAATGGAAGCATGCTGATTTTCTAGTCAAACTCAGATAAATTTGACAACTTCTGATCCACAGGGTATTACAAAATGACAAATTTTCTGACTAAGCACTTGGATTGCATAACAGGAGGCAACCTCTCCCATCCCTTAGCCCGCTCCACCCGACTCAAACTCATGACCTCTTACTTCTACCAAAAGGAGATTACTACTTACATTTTTGGCCACCTGAGTAAATGTTTTCCAAAATATATATTTGCAAAGAAAAGGTCTAGTCTTAATAAATAAAATAGGTTGTCTGGAAAATGCAGCAGTATATTCGCTTTTATTCTTTCATAACAATTCAATTCAAATTGTATTCGGTAGAGTATTGTCATCGCCAGAATTTCTTTATAGCTTCCACGCAACATTTGAATAAATCTCAAATTCGGTAACATTCATGAGAGGAAAAATTCCAACTGAAAACAATTGAAACCTAACATCTACTGCTTCAGTCAAATCAAAGCTGAAATCCAAACAAAACTTACAGTCGTCACTTTGCGGCGTGATCCTCCCATCCATTGCAACATTGTGCCGTTTCCACCAGGACGCGAAAAGGACAGGACGCACCGGCAAACCTGAAAAGCGAAATTGTCCGGCTAAAAAGCTCAACGATCGGAGTGTAAAACGACCAGCGAGTGAAGAAGAAACTTACAGTGATGGATACGAAAATGGAAAATGGAACTATTCCGATGCAATTGGCAAGAAACTTCAGCGATGGCCTTGATATTTCAGTTGATTTTGAGCAAAAACAGCTAAGCTTCCACTGAGCGACTTCGGTCATTCCGATTGACAGAGCAAAATGGTGGAGAGGAAGACGAAGATACTCAGGATGAGATAATAAGGCCTTGTTCTTAGCACTAAGCTCCCAACAGAGTATTTCAGTCCATACTCCATGCTTCACGTCCCCGGTGAAAAGGAAAGAAAAATAACAAAAAATAAATTTTTTTTTTTTTAACATATTTGAAAGGGACGGGTTTCGAACCCAGCCCGAGAAGGGGAATGCACGGGGTGACTATTGCCGTTAGAACGCAAGTGCCAGTTGCAACAAAAAATAATAATTTTGCTTAGCATCTATTTACTTATCTTATATATTATATTTAAATAAAATTTTAATAATTTATTTTTATTTTTAATAAATAAAATTTATTTATTTTTATTATATTTATTAAAATTAATTATTTTTTAAGTAAGTTTTAACTATTAAAATTTTATACAAATATAGTATATAAAATTTATATAAAAATAAATCTTTGCTTATTTTTTAAAATAAAAATAAAAATATTAGAATATTATAATGCAAACATATTATGTAATTATATAATTTATTCTTTTAAAAAATTCACCGATATTATTAAATCGTCTGCGTAACATAACAATAAAAAAAGCAATGGCACTACTAATAAATATTAGAAATGTAAGGTAAAAATACAATTCAACACATATATTTATTAAAATATTTTTAATGAAATTATCTTTTATGTTATTTTATTAAAATAAAAAAAATTAATGCTTTTTATTAATTAAAATGTTAAAAATAATAATAATAAGAGAAAAATATTTGTAATAAATTAATATATAATAAAATTTATTTAAAATATTTAAATAATTTCACATAAAATTTTAATATTTAAAATGTCAAATCTTTTTAATTTTTATTTTTTTTCTATTTCATTAGTAAGGCTACTTTAATAATTTTGTAAACAATACAGTACAACATATGGGCCATGAAACCTAACATTAAAACAGCGTAATCAATTAGCATACTTATTTGATTTTTCAGGAAAGAAAAACTTAAATCGAACAAATGAAAACAAATTTTTATTTTATTTTAGACATATTTTAAATACTAAATCAAATATTCAAATCTAATAATTTATTCTTCAATTTTAATATTTGAAATTAATTAATCAATTATTCAACTTTCATCAACTATTTAAAAAAATTCTCTTCTCATGATTTCTCATATCAAAAAAATAAAAGAAAAGAAAGAGGCATGTTCTAGACTCTAGAAACTGAGGAAATAGTGAAACGCCGGTGAGAATGTCCTGGGCTTACCCTATCCACTCCGGCCGGCGGCCGGCGGCCGGTGGGCATGTCAACGTCAAAGTGCCGTTAATTTAGTCCTATAACGGCTCAAAGAGAAGCGTTCCCTCCAAAGTCCCCACCTACCGTGTACTTCGAACCTTGGACCTTATTCCCCTAACCGCTTTGACCCCTCTCAACTAAACCACCCACAACCCTAACTACCTCTTCTTCTTCATTCCCTCTTCCCACCCCCTGCCCCCTAACCCCACCCCCACCCCCACCAACTTCATACTTATCCTTCTCAGTTCTTCACTCATGAAGCTGAAGCTGAATGCGGAAGTGACGTCCTCTTCTTTCTTGGATTCTTCTTGTTCTTTGAAGCGAAAGAGGCCGCCCAAGATTCAGATCCCCAATGTTTTGCGGGAAATCCCAGCGGAGGAGCTGGCATTCAGAGATTTTACGCCCATGAATGATGCGGTATCCTTCTGTGTCGCTGGTGTTGGGATTTCCTCTGTTAAAGGGAAGAAGCAGTTCATGGAAGATACTCACAAGATCCTTTCTTGCTTGCAGGACAACTCGAACAAAGTGAGTATGGCTCAGTTTGAGGGTTCTTTACTGCAATTTTTTTGTGGTTGGATTGAGTTTAGTTAAGAAAGATGTAAAATTTCCACTATAAGGCGATTTTGTTTTTCACTGAGGGGATTTTTGGTTTCTAATGTGTAGGCATTTTTTGGGGTTTACGATGGACATGGGGGCAGGAAGGCTGCGGATTACGTTGCAGAGAACTTGCACGATAATATTTTTGAATTGATGAAGAATTGTACGAGAAATGAGGAGAAGGTGGAAGCAATAAAAGCCGGGTATCTGAAGACTGATGAGGAATTTTTGAAGCAGGTAATTGCTTTCTGGTTGTTTCATTTATTAGTTCTTGTAAGGGGTCTTTTAATTTTTTAATCTTTTATTGTTATTACTATTATTATTTTTTGGGTTAATATGTTGCTTCACAGTTCATACCACACCCAATTTCAGGGATTAAGTCACTCTTTTGGAAGTTGGATGTTTATGTGTTGGGCTGGGGTTACCTTTCCTTGTCTTGCTCAATCTTTAGTTCTGGCTTTGTTCTTACGGTAACTAAAGGTCAAGTCTTGCAAACCAATTTTTAAGTCTGCCTTTGTTCTTATGGTAGCTAATGGTTAAACTTGTCAAAGATTGGTTTTTGGTAACTTTTTATGTTTAGAAATTCATTTTTTATAATAATAAATTAGTAGTGTGGAATGAGTGATTGGTTGTAGCTTGATCTAATAAATTTTCAGTATCAAAAGAAGATTGATATTGGTTTTAGGTAATCTTAGAATTGCTAGTTTGGTATATGACTATTTGAGGGAAGTCTTGTCCTACCCAGAGCCAATATTCTAATTATTGGGTGTTGAGCAGTAGCAATCAAACAGCTATATGATGCTGAGGATTTTTAGCTAGTTCCGGATTGGTACTACCTCAACATTTGTTTGAATACCAAGTTACAATCAGACTCTGGGCCCTTTCCAAACTTGGAGCATGTAAGCTCATTTCATTCATTTGGCCATTTACTCTTGTAATACAGATATGCCAGGCAGGGAATTGAGAAGCAGACAAGAATCCCAAATGCAGTAATACGAGCTTCTCTGTAATCACATTGCTCTATTATTGCTTTATAAGCCAATAGTGTATGACTGACATATCTTGGTGGTCAAATCAAAAAATGATTAATGAGCTGTCATATCATTGATTGATGAAGTCTTATATATTCCTTGCTGTCATTTCCGTTCATTGAACTTTCACAAATTTCTATGAATTTGTCCCTCACCTTGGTCTTTTTCACTGTTTGACAGTTCATCTTTTGGCCATCACTCTTTTAAAAGTTAGATCCTTGCTCTTCTCTGCTTGATTGGTCTGCTCAGCTTGATAGTCAAAGTTGAATAACAAATTTAAAGCTTATGTTACTTAAATTGAAAATGAGAAATATTTAATACTGACTAGTGACTTGGGTAGATTTCATATCAGTTGGCTGTGATTGGTATGTGTGATTAATGTGTGCATTCATCAATGGCTTATTTAGAACTGCCATTCCAGTAAACTCAGATTATTCCTCAAACCTTGCCTCAGGAATCTCATGAAAGGGCAGCAGGGTGGCATATATATGTGCCATCAAACTAGAAGATAAATAAATCCCTGTCTCTTGTGTCTGAAATTGCTTAATTACTTGGAGGAAACTATTGCAGGATGCAGCCGGTGGTGCTTGCTGTGTCACAGCATTAATTGAAGGTCAGGACATTGTTGTAGCAAATGTGGGAGATTGCAGAGCTGTCCTATGTAGAGGAGGATTGGCTGAAGCTCTCACCACTGATCATAAACCAGAAAAAGAGGATGAGCGAAAAAGAATAGAGAATAAGGTGCTCTTTCTTTGTTAGCAAGCTTAATATTGTTAAGTTTGGAGCTTAAAAATTTCTGAAGGTTCCTGACTTTCTGTTGACATTGGAGCACAGGGAGGATATGTTCTGATGCATCATGGGGCTTGGAGAGTTCATGGAACACTTTCTATCTCTAGAAGCATAGGAGATGCTCATATGAAGAACTGGATACCTGCAGAGCCTGACACAAAAATCCTTCAAATGACTCAAGATATGGACTTCCTTGTGTTAGCTTCTGATGGACTTTGGGAAAAGGTGAGGAGGTACATAATAGCCTTTTTAGCATGATAAATTGATAATATATCTAGGTTGGTTAAAAACATCTTAGAATCACTGTGTTAAGCAATTATTAATAATTTTCTTTAATCATATTCATGATGTATTTTGCAGTTTCCTATTCTGTGTTGGTTTCTCTTTCCACAGCACTGCATTTAGTAGGGCCTTTTTTTTATTTTCTTTCTTTCTAAATCTTCCATCTTTAGCTAGCATGCTGGGTTGTATGATTATCTACTGTTATTATCCATGATAAGGGTGATAATCCTGCTAGCTGCTTAGAATTTCCCACGATAGGATGTTTAATGTTGAGACAGTGGAGAGGATGTCTAAAATTTATTCTCGATAAACATCTTCTTACAACACCCAACCCATATGACAAACATTGCATGAATATCTCAACAAGGCTGTATTACCTTTTATTACATACTACGTTGTCTGGCTACTGATCTCCATCTCTGTCCTCAATGATTCCACATTGATTTCACTGTTTTGATTGAGACACTAGACCCTCGTTCCTCGTGAAGTAGTTATTGATCAATCTTATCTTGATTGTTGAATCTGACCCCTAACTGTTCAACCAGGTTGGCAACCAAGAAGCTGTTGATATCGTAACAGATTTATTGGTAGGAAAAAAACTGGGAACTGGAGATTTTATTAAAGACAACCATGATGATTGTGGCTGCTTAAATGTAAATGTAAGTGTGAATGCAAGCCCTTCATCAAAGCTACGTAGAGTTTCACTGGTCAAGAAGCTGAGGGAGACAAGTCAATCACCAAGGTTTAAGCCGACAATTAATAACCAGAAAGATAATGAAGATGACATTCCTTGTGAGAATGAAAGCCCACCATCAAAGCTACGAAAGGTTTCGCTCACTAAACGGGTAAGTGTGCAACCTGATATTCCTAATCAAGAAAATGCTAGTAAGATAGGGCCACCTTCTGCCGGGCTTTTGGCTGCATGTACGGAGCTCGTGAACCTTGCTGTGAGTAGGGGTAGTTTGGATGATATCACTGTAATGATAATTGATTTGAACCACTTCAGATGTAACAACTGATTTTTGTCGATTAGTACAGCCAATCGTCTTCATTGCTCACGTAAGGAGCTCTCTAATCTCAATTTTAATATCCAAAATTTAGCTTTCTTATATATGGTGCTATTAATATTTCTTCCTCTGTTGTGTGCTCCTGAAATGAATATACAGCAATTTTGAACACTCCACTCACCAGTTACGGACTGCTTTGTACATTTGAATTATAGTTACTACAATATTGCACTGGACCACCTCTATCTCGTCTGGTGCTTGCTCCTCTCCCCCACTACATTCTCTGAAAGAATTACACAAGTGTTGAGGATTTTCATTGGATAAGAGGGCAATGGCGTTTATATCTTGAAAAAACAATGACAATAGATTGAGCTCCATACTCTCGTCCTTTATAATTGTTCTTTTCTTTTGGCATTTTGTAGGCTGTTTTGCTTACTTTATTTCCATAGGTCTTACCATATGAGAAGGGATATAAGAAACTCTTACTGTGGTCCATAATTTTTAATGGAAAAATGCATATCATCATCCAAACACTATTATTTTAATAAACACTCATAAAAAAATTAATAAAATAGCCTAAAAATCTAAGATTCTTACGAGTTGAGTCACTATTTGGAGATATTTTCCTTATAATAAGCACTTAATGATTTTAATTTTGCAGATAATTACTTTATAGGCCATCTTGTGCAAAAAAAAAAAAAAGAAAAATTGAGGTGGAAAAGACAGAAATATCCAACACAAATGGCAAAACTTCAATCTCATATGGTATGTTTAGTTTGGCTGTTTTCATCGGCCTATGACGTTTTTTTTCTTGAAAAGCTAATTAGTGTATTTGTAAACGTATGATAATAAAGATATCAATTGTTCTAGCAGCTATAGTTACATACAGTTTCCTAATAACTAAACCAATTAAAGAGAGCCATAATTTTGTATACTTCAACTTCTAGAAAATCTTATCTTTTCATGTGTCTTGCGTCTACGAAATGTAATTCTACTAAATTTTAATTGTTGAACTACAACCCAAATAAAATATTTAATAAAAAATTATTTTACAGTTCAAATTGTAAAATAAAAAATTCAGAATTCAACTACATATTGAAACTGTACATAATTGGACTCGAACTCTACCACCCAGTCTGCACTAGGAGAAATATACTTGTATTGGATTCCAGTAGAATAAGGAAACATAACCCCGGTATAATTCTATAAATATGCTTGTATTGTCTGGGATTCTAAGAAGGCTTACTTCCATCCTTCTCAACCCTTGTATTCTATTTCTCTTGAGTCTTGACCTCCCTAATGAACAGCAACCCACATTGTAAACCATATTTTTCATGTGAGACTCTGCTTTAGCGAGGCACACTTGCCACATAGCTTCTTTACATATGAATGGCACTTTGTCTGCTTTTCACCCCCGCACCAGAAAGATAAATTTTCTCCCCATAAAAGGCCAATAATTGAACCCCCGAAGCCACTTCTGAAACAATGTATAAAAACACAGTCTGTTGAAAAGCACTGCATATATCATTCACTCGTTTCCTTTTCATCCTTCTACATCATGCATGATTCAACAGGAATTCCAGCTTCTTTTTCCTCTGGTGAGAGGCAAACCGATGAGAAAGCCACCGTGGGAAGATCTGGACAGAGTGTTTTCATGTCTGTCTACAGAACAAAACTGGCGAGTCAGTGCCGGTTCATTACAGTTACATGGTGTAAGAACTTGTTGCTTCATGGTCTTTCTGTTTCCGTTCAGGGTCCTAACTCCGACGAGCATTACCAGTGTAAGGTGGAGATGAAGCCGTGGCACTTCTGGAGAAAACAGGGGTCGATGCATTTTACCGTTGACGGTAGGAGAGTTGATGTCGTCTGGGACATTAAAGCGGCAAAATTCAATGGGGAGACGGAGCCACAATCGGATTACTACGTAGCCATCGTTTGTGAAGAAGAGGTGGTTTTGGTCCTCGGTGATTCAAAGAAAGACGCGTATAGAAAGACCGGTTGCCGGCCGTCGTTGATCGACCCCATCTTGGTCTCGAGAAGGGAACATGTGTTCGGCAAGAAGAAGTTTTCAACGAAGGTTCGATTGGACGAGAAAGGAAATTTTCATGGAATCTCGATTGAGTGTAATAATTCAGCTGGGTTTGATCCAAGAATGGAGATAAAGGTAGATGGGAAATTAGCCATTAATGTTAAGCATCTTCAATGGAAGTTCAGAGGAAATGAATTCATAAACTTAGGCAAAAATGGGGTCGAAGTGTATTGGGATGTTCATGATTGGCTCTTTGGGTCCAGTCCAAGGCATGGTCTGTTCATATTCAAGCCAATTTCCTCAGCGGTAGCGGTGGCGCCCCCAGGACCGACTACATCAGTATCAACAGCGTCGTCACCTAATCTCGAGGGACTACTGATGAATCCTGGATCAAGGAATGATGATCATTCCAGCTTCTGCTTGTTTCTCCATGCTTGGAAAGTAGAGTGATTAATTAATTAATTAATATTTTTGTGAATGATGTTGGCACCATCAACATCAATACATGATTCATACATGTGCATAACTGGCAACCCACCATGACACATGCATCATGTTCTATGGGTAAAGGTGGTGGATCAAGCCAACAGAGACATATGAAAATGGAGGATTAGGGTATGGGGTCCAGTGAGAGTGGAAGATGGTCACAGGTTGAACAAGATTGGACAGGCCAGATTGGATTTTACATACACATCTAATATTCCTCACCCAATAAAATTTGTCTGTCAAAAGAGGTCGAAGGTATATGTCCAAAAGAATATGAATATGCAATGGTAGCCTAATAATATATATGCTTTTGATAACATGGAGTTTGGTGGTGAATAGGTGATGGAATTGCCCCATCAAAAGATGTGTGTAAACTGTTTTTTTCACAAATGGAACTTGTCTTTTTCTCTTTTGTAGTAGTTTTTAAGCTTTGGAAGGCAAGTAGTATTAAAGTGCATTTCCAAACAGCTAGGAATTTGGTTTCCACAATAAATCCATTTGCTAAAAATGTATAGCGTGGCATACCAATCCCACATTTCAAATATTATGCATCATATTTATACAAAATTTTAACTTTACACATAAGTTTTACACACTATATTTATACAAAATTTTAATATTTTATCTTTTCACTTTCAATTGTTAAGATTTATTATAATTTTTTAGATTAAAGGGAATAATCTTTAATAAATATAACAAAAAGTGAATAAATCTCAATAATTAAAAATAGAGAAATGAATAATCAAGATTTTTTTATACATATAAGATCGATGTAAAACTTATGTATAAATATATCTATCTTACTCTATATGTATTTTTTCACTTGCTCCTATGATCACGAATATTTTATATACACTTGAACCATTGAACTATGATGCAAAGAGGTTTTAGGTTAGTGGGGAATAATTGATATTAGAGCAGTTAGTACTCAGTGAAGGTGCATGGCCAAGCAAAGAATTATTGCCCTCAATGGATTTATTGGACGCTGGCAATAATGTGTTAAGCTTTGACTTTGATAATCTCATATCAATTGGAGTCGATTTTACAGTAGCAATTTGTCTAAGCTGATTACTTTTAGTTGGATTTGATGACGATGTCAAACTTTTAAGTAAAAAAAGCTTGTCATTGCAGTCCTAACTTAAAAAAAAATGTGTTATCGTGTGTATAGAATTGATCTTGTAGAGGGTTTGGATAATTAGGATACTCTCTCGAGCTAATTAATTTGAGTAAAACTTGAGACTAATTTTTTCTTAAAAAATAAAAATTAAGAGCACACTTTTTTCACATTGATTTGACACATTTAAAAAAATTAAAAAAATTTCTTAGATTAATCCCAAAATTAATTTGAACTATAAACCCAGTTTACATGGTGAATCCAATCGTTCAATTATAGTTCCACTAGAAGAGGGAAACTATAACCTTTTGTCCCTCCATTTCCTATCTTTTTTAACTACAATCTTTTCTTCAATTATTTACTATTATGGGTTTAACTTGTGGGTGCGTTAGCTAGAATTAGGACATGTGAAATTGTTTATTAACACACAAATACAGCCACTGAACACATGGTCATTCACACCAAAAGCAACAACTAAAAAGAGAAGAGAAAGTTGAGGCTGTTCGCCATCATTTACCATCTTTTCTCCCATACCAACCTGCTTGCCATGTGCATGCAACTAAAAGACCAAATACGAAGGGACTCTGCAAATTTTTGGGCTTGTGGTGGACCAATAACCAAAAAGCTCGACTCTTGCCGGCCATAAAACAGACCCAATTGCACCAAACCTCCTTCCGTGCCCCGTAAAAGGTCCTTCCCTCCCCTTTTGAAAAGTTCCTTTTGGAAGATAAAAAGGCATGACCAAATTGGAGAAAGAAGTCATGTATACCCAAAAAATTTAAAAAAAAAAAATGAAGTCAGAAGTGATCAAGTGGTCCACTAACTTTGATTTGTAACCATTCATAACTTTTTGGATGGAAATGTTGGATGGGACCTCCATCCAAGAACAAGATGATTAATTTACTCATTTCTCCAAAAATTCTAGTATATCACTATGATCATATAAATCCCTGTCCAACCAAAACCAAAAACTCATCAATTTTTCTGGTTTCTCATTGAGTTTGGTGGTTTTGGTTGGCCGAGAACATGTATTCTCATAATGCAAAAGAATTTTTTCATCTTCTGACTTCCTATACAAAAAAAACTTAACTACATTAACCAAATACTTTATTCAAAATTTATTACAAATCATATTGTAAGAATGAAAAACTGCTATACAATTTGATCTGCATATGATTGCACAATAGAAACGGCTATATAAGGAGCAAGCTTCTGATATTGAGTTTCTCTCCTTATTCAACCAATTTTATTTTGCAAACTGGATTGTAAAACAAAAAATTCTCGTTTGAATCATACTTGAATTGTGGTAACAACAAAAATAATTTAATATAGAGATTCAAAAATGGAACACGAGGTCTCCCATTCTTCAATTGATGTTATAAAGGTAACAATTTTCAATTTATATCCAACTTGTTACAAGCCCTGTTCAATGGAACTGGAGGGTCTGAAAACGAGCCATTAATGATTTGCTGAAAGATCCAGTGGTTAGCAGCCTCTGTGAAATGGATTCCATCCCAACTGACCCGAACAGATGGATTTTTGCAGGAATTTGCTATTAAAATCTCTTTGCCTCCTACGGTAATTTTCGCCCCACACCTTCTAGAATTGTTGAAATTGTATTTCCCACCGTGGCCGCAACAAGCCACAAATGGATGCTCAAATCCTGTTTACAACAACCAAATTGGCAAATTCAGCCAAGGCATTGGTGGTTCAATGGTCAAGAATGAAAATGAGGTCTTGAGAAAGAAAACATTAAAAAGTGAATCGGTTTTATTAGCCTAATGGTTAGGAGTTTAATTCTCATCCATAACTTGCACAATTCAGATTTACTACAAAAAAAGAAAAAACTTACACAATTCAAAATATTCAAAGAAAAATGGAAAACCTTATGAAGTTTTGAAGGGATGTTATTACCAAGTTCCTTGGCTTTGGTGATGAGAGTGTACTTCAAAGTGTAGACATCTACATATGTGATTGCAGCCAAAGGGAGTTCTTTCCTTAATTGACCCACCAATTCCTTCAACCTTTGGTTGAAAAACTGAGCCACCTCGTTGACCGGGGCGGAGCAGCCATGTTTATCCACCTGCGCCGCCAGGATAGGAAACAATTCAAGAACGTACGGTAAGCAGCCCGCTGGCCCTGTGTTGTGTATCCAAAATGCTCTCCCTCCCAAAGCATACACATCCTGCATTTACAAGACAATAGCAAAAAAACTTTGGACAATCTTATTCTAATAATTACTATACTACTAGTATACAACCTCAGCTATAAATTCAAATGAATAGGAAAAGATTGGACTTTATTATTAAATTAGTAAACATGTTAAAATTTTATTAATTTCACCGGAATACACAGTAGATCCAAGTCAAATTTTTACATATTTGAGCTTAGCTTGAGTAATTTATGCATATTTAGGTTAATCTGTGATCAAATAAACTATCATAATAATTTAGTTTGGCTTACAAACTCAAGTTCGAAATTAACAAAATATTAAACAGATTACAAGCGGTACTTAAACTCGTACCTTGATAACTTTGGAGTACTGGTCTAGGACATCAGGAACATAAGCCTTGACTTGTTCAGTTGTGAAGTTAAGCTTGTATCCATAGACAAGATCGTTCTGTCCAATATCAAAAGTGTACAATGCAGAGGAGAAATATTCCTCTTTGGGCAACAATTCCGCAAAAACCCCACCTGGTAACATGAAAGCAGCTTGTTAATAATATTCTAGGATTAATTTTTGCAATACCAAACCTGGAAATCAATTAAGGGAATATATATAGTTTTTGCACCCTTTTTCCGGAATATCTGAGATCTTGTACGAAAGCTGGAGAATTCAGCGGACTGGAAGTCCAAGGAAATTGGGCTGGCGCCGCTTTGAGACCTTGTGGTGTTTTGGGGTCTTATGGTTGATCCGGCGGTGGCGAAGTTGGCTCCATGGCTGAAGTTTGAACCCACAGCGTCCAGATAAGCGTTGAGTAAAGGTAATCCCAAGCTGTCAGCTTTAAAATTCAAACCAGTAAAATATCTTCTTTTTTTTTTTTTGTTTTATCTTATCAGGAAAAAAAATATAAAACCTTGAAAAGTGAAAACCCAATGATTGCGTTCGGTACATTGCATTTCATACTGCAACACGCGAAGTTAATTATAGATTAGTTTTGTAAATTATTTAAATAATTTAATGATTATTTTTTA